AATTTGACTTATTTTTTTTGTAACTAGAAAAATTTTCTTCAAGAAAATTTATCAATAATTTTGTGTTTTCATCATTTCAGCCTTCTTCTTCATTAACAGATCCAGATTGAGAAGTATTATTTAAAGTACTATTTTCCCTTTTTTTTACTTCACCTTCATAGTCCAAGCTGAAATCCAGGTTCAGGAAGATGTCTTCTAAAAAAAAGTAAAAGGAATGTTAATGGCATTTCAAAGATAAAGAAACAAAAACAATTCCCCACATTACCTTATCTTTATAGTCCAAGCTAAAATTCAGTCCAGAAAGGCGTTCCCTAAGAAAAGAAGTAAAAGGAATGTTAGTAACAATTTAAGACAAAAAAAGGAAGAATTATGCACTTACCATTTGAATTCAAGCTGTCCAAGTCAAAATTCTAATCATTTTGAAGTAAAAGATCCAGGAGGAGGAAGGGAGAGAGAGAGAGAGAGAAAGAAAGAGAAAGAGAGTGTGTGTGTGTTTGTGTGTATGTATATGTGTGTGAGAGTGAGAGTGAGTGAGTGAGTGAAAGTGAGAGTGAGTGAGTAGGTGAGTGATGTAATACGTAAATATTATCATTATTGTAAAAAAAAAAATAAATAAAAAAATAAAATAAAAAATAAATAAAAAAAAATTTATGCTTATCTAAGCGAATTGACCATTCAATTTGTTCACTGGATATCCAATGATCCATCTGATCAATCCGGTAATATAAACGGATCAATCTGAATCCAGTCAAATTTCAGATGGATGATCAGATATCTGAATTCATCAGATTCAGAGCACACTTCTATATCAAATTATTTTTTATCATCATATCAACGATGACGTAAAACTTTTATATGACTTATATTTTTTCCAGATTTATCAGCCAGATGAAGTAAAGTTTGTACCTATTAATTGATAAAAGAATAATAAAATAATGAAATAATGAACAAATAAATAAATAATTTAATATATACATGATGTGATCTCCAAGGTTTGTCATAGACATGAAGAATATGTTTATCTGTTTCTTTTTTATTTTTAGGCTGAATATGGTCTTCAATTTCTTTTTTAATAAGTTCATTATCTGT